GTGGGCTGAGCTGGCCACACACACACACACACACACACACACGTAAATAAATAAAAATTAATAAAAAAAATACTTCTAATAAATTAAGAGACAAATACGGTAGTACACAGCTATAATCCCAGCTACTCAGGAGGCTGAGGCAGGAAGATCACTAGTTTGAGACCAGCCTAGAAAACTTAGCAAGATCTGCCACAAAAGAAAGCAAAAAGCAACCAGGATATAGCTTTGGAGCATAATCCTCACAAGAAGAGAGAAGAATAGAAGAAAAGAGAGGGGACAGGAGGGAAAAGGAAGGGAAGAGAGGGGAATGGTTTAAAGTAAGATGAGAAAGGATGAGTTGCACTTGGAAGCTGAAAACAAGCCATCATCAAGGGCAGGCCAGCAAATGATGGCCTGTAGGATGCCATCTGTCCCACTCCTGCCTCTTTCTGTAGTTTTACTGAGCACATCACAGCTCCCGGTTTACACACTGTCTTCTGGCTGCTTTCACAGCAGCAGCAGAACTGGTGGCCGCAACACAGACCATGCGGCTGACCATCCCTTAAATTATTCACTTTCTGGTCCCTTGCAGAGAAAGCTGAGTGACTTCTAATCAAGTAAAAAAAAAAAAATGCATCAAGCTACTTCTATGTTGTAGACCAAGTTTCAGTTAACACATTCCCAAAACAGAAACTTCAGCAGAACAATTTAAATTGTTTTTGTAAAAGTAAGCTATAGCATGTACAGGTACAAATTCTCTATGATGACTATGATCATTATGTATATCTAAAGTGTACCAACAAAATCTGATTGAAAAATAAATTGTGTTTTTGTGTAGAGGCTAAGTTTAACTGCATCACCTCAATCGGCCTGGTAGCCTAGAGGATTTGTAAAGCACACTTCAGGTGGTACCTGGGAGGGTCCTAGAGGCCTCACATGGGTGGTCTCAAGTCCCCTCCTCTCTGGTCCTCTTCTCTGCTCTGCTTCCCAGCTACCACAAGCAAGTACCTCTGCTCCACTGCCATATGTCTGCTCTGGTGCCACCTGATCATGGACTATGTACCCTGAAACTGTAAGCTAAATTAAACCTCTCCTCCCTTAAACTGTGAATGTCAGGCATTATGTTCCACTAACAAAAAAAGATGACTGATATCATCATTTCCACAATCAATAACTATAGTAAACTACTTTAAAACAGTGCTCTTGTTACATATCCCAACTGCAGAAGCTACTAAAAATGAGCATTTATCAAACACATTAAGCAAAGCAACACTTAAAACATACTTAACACTTTAATATCTTCAAAAGTACCATTACCTTTGGATTGTGCATAACAATAGTCTCTCCACTTGGAAATTCTAATCTTCGATGCCACTGATTTGTGGTTACAGCTTTTTTATATTCAGCCTACCATAAATAAAACAACATATAATCCAGTCTGACAAATCTATGTCATATCAAGAAAAATTAAAACTATAATGGTGGCAAAACCAAGAGTAAAACAGCTCTAATGTACTGATAATCATTTTATTAGCTAATATGTATTACTTCATTTAAATTATTGTCAACCACTCCTAAATAATATTATCCCCATTATACAGAGGAGAAAGCCAAGGTTTGGACAAGATACTGGTTTTCTAGGATTGCTATCATAAAGTACCACCAAATGAGTAACTTAAACTTATTGCCTCATAGTGTTGGAGATGTGAAGTCCAAAATAATGAGTTGCCTGGGGTTGGGGAGATGGCTCAGTGGAGTAAGCGTAGGAGCCTGAGTTTACTCCCCGGTTCCGGCAAAAAAAAAAAAAAAAGGAGTTGCCAATGATCCCTCTGAAGCCTGTAAGGAAACCCTCCTTGCCTCCTTCTACCTCTTGGTGTTGTTCTAAATCTTTGACATTCCTTGGTTTGCAGCATGACTCCAACTGTTACCTCAGTTGTCACACGCCATTCTCCCTGTTGGTCTAAACATAGCTGTCTTCTTGCATGGACACAATGGGTTGAAGCAGTGCTGGTGAACTTTTTAGAGCTTTCAATGATACAAACAGCACACCAAGACACACTGCCATAGGTTCACCACCACTGGACTGGGTCTACCCTACTCAAGTATAACCTCACCTTAGGTAATTATATTTGTGATAACCCTATTTTCAAAAAGGTAATGTTTTGAGGTACTATGAGTTAGCACTTCAACACATTTCAAGGAAGAGCGGGGACAGAGGCATGGTTTAATCCATAATAAACATCTAAAGTTCTGCACATGTTTACAGAAGACCACACAACTGATGTGCAGCAATGGCAGAACTGTGATTCACTCCTATCTAGGACTTTCTGCCTCCAAACTCCTTACTGTGCCACCAGTTTCTTAATTTTTCTTTTTTCAGCTACAACACTCTGCTTTAGTGAAGTGGACCTCTTAGGAAAAGATTCAGCAGGAGGCAAGGGGAATGACTGACACAGTCATTATACATACCCCATTTTTTTTTTTTAATTGACAAGTATAAACTGTTAAGAAGTCTTAAAAAAAACAAACTAATAACAGAGCTGACATTTCTTCCTATTCTGTCTCAAATTTATTTTCACAAGTCAGAGGTGACTTCAACCACTTGCTAAAATTAATTTGAAAATGTCTGTATGCTTGGTATCTAAGGGCAACATCAAATCTGGAAACCTACATTCTTTTGAAAGTTTGATACAAACACCTTACTAGATCTGTGATATGTCCCTGAAAAGCACATTCTATTTTTACATACAGGAACTATGATCATCACTTTGTGAATGGTGGCACCACTTAAAAGCAATCTCCTTGACAAGTGTGTTGCTACAGCTGTAATCCCAGGCAAGGCAGGAGGATCACAAGTTCGACCTGGGCTACACTGTGAGACTCTGGCTCAAGCAAAAGTAATCTTTGTGAACAGCATCAAGACAGGCTTGTACATAAAGTCAGCTCCAATAGTCAGTGGTATCACATAAAACTCCAATGCGTACTGGACCTACATTTTTTAAAGAAAGGCATAAATAAATGAGGCATTCATACCTCTAGTTTTTCACTGAAGTCCTCTGTGTAGGGAATGAATCTGCTGTCTGTGTCTCCCTTATAAAACCAAGTACAGCGCCTCACTTCAGCTGGCTCCTCTTCCCAGTACACAGCTTTCCTCACTCGGTCATAGAGGTAAACATCGTATCGTCCTCCATCTGTGCCTAGAACCACACTCTCTGGGTCTGGCTGGACTAGAAAACAAAGATCACATTGTCCCCAACCAATGCAAGACCTATTTAAAAATGGCAAATAAGAATATTATGACTGATCAACACTTAATGACTAACAACAGGCTCATTTTTATTTAAAAACAAAAGTTTAACATTAATTCAAATTAACTTTTTTGCAGCATAGGGATTAAATCTAGGGCCCTTCCACTGAACTATATTACCAGCTCTTTTTTACATTATGAAATAGGGTCTCATTAAGTTGGGTATGGTGGTACACAACTATAATCCCAACACAGGAGGCTGAGACAGGAGGGCTGTCCCAAGTTTGAGGCCACACTGGGTTACAGAGTGAGTTCAAAGCCAGCATCAACTATATAGCAAGATCCTGTCTCAAAAGAATAGAAAGAGGGTCTAAGCCACTGAACTGACTGAGCCAGACTCAAACCAGTGAACTTCCTGCCTCAGCCTTCCAGAATGTGGGTATTACAGATGTATGCCACACACCAAACTGACTTTTAAGAGAAAAAAAAAATTTAGGAAGTAAAATACGTTCTTCATAAAGAAAATTTTAAAGCCATGATCAAACTCATGAATTTTTTAAAATTTTGGCAGTGACATCCACATACAGCAATGTTTCACAAAGGATAAAATACCAATGGACCTTAAGTCCAATGACAAAGAATATCGAGACAAACAGAAAAATGTATTTCTGTGGTATAAGACTTCTCAGAACCTCAGCATACCATCTCTATGAAAAAGTGGAGCCAGGTATGGTGGCACATGACTGTAACCCCAGCACTTAAGAGGCTGAGGCAAATGATCACAAAGTTAAGCCCAGGCTGGGTGATTACGCAAGTAGTAAGATGTTGTTCTCTATTATTTTTTCTGCCCCCTCCCTCTGTTTTTTTAAGGGAAAGTCTTACTATGTAGCCTAGGCTGACCTCAAACTGGGCAGGAATCCTGTCTCAGCCTCCCAAGTGCTGGGATTACAGGCATGTACCACATGCCTGGCTTGTTCTCAAAATTTAAAAAGGGATGAGGGTATAGCTCAGTGCAAAGGTACTGGGTTCAATTACCAGTAACACAAACACACAAAAGACGCTTACTCAAGACTGCAGAATATTTTTCAAAGAGCATCTCCAAGATCCAGAGTTCCACAGAAAATGCTTCATAACATTTAAGTTATGGGGGCTGGTGAGATGGCTCAGTGGTTTAAAGCACCTACTTAGAACAAGCTAAGCTAAGCAAAGCACAGGGAGCGAGGTTCAATCCCCCAGCACCACATGCCAGCCAGCCCCGCCCCCTGCTGGGCTGAGCTGGCCACACACACACAAAATAAATAAACAAATAAATAATTTTTTTTTTAAATGTGATGTTTCTTAAAAAAAAAAAAAAAAAAAAACATTTAAGTTATAAAATGTTACACGCCTCCATAACTACGTAGCTACAAATGAATAAGGGGTATAGGAAAACTCTCATCTAAAACACCTTTAAACAAAGGAATGACTAACACCATTTCTGCAAGCACCTTGCTCAGATAACTCGGGATTTCTAATAGTATTACCATCGTAAGGTATAGAATCTGGTGGGCTCTACAAAGATTAATGAACTGAAATTCACAAAAGTAGGCCACAGACACTTATTATGCCTTCTCTTCCTAAAATCAGATGTGAATGATGCCTATCAGCACTTACCTGAATTATACACTTCTTCAAGATGTGAAGAATCCAGCACACTGAAAGGCATCCATATTTGTCTGTATTCTACCTCCTTGCAGTAAAACCAATGGGGCTGGATAGGTTCATACTGATTTTGAAGTACAAAAGGAGGCGTCCCCTGTACAGAGGGGCCTGCAGGTTTTGCAAGTACTTGCTGTTGTGTTGGTGACTGTACTGAAGGAGAAATCTAAAAGGTCAAGAAAGTTAAGACTGTCATATTTGACCAAAATAATTCTGCATATGCTTTAGAATAAAATGGACATTAACGATAATTATGCTACCAATATTTCTGGGAGTAACTACTTATTGTAGTAACTAAACCCCAAAGCAATTAAATTTTAAAAAAATACTAAATCACCAAATCAACTGCAAAGTGAATTAGATTTCTACACAGTTTGATGTTACAGTAAATTAACACTTTTATATATCAATAGCCCTATGTCTCCCATCATTTATTTTAACTTTTTTTTTTTAGACAGCACCTTGCTATGCAGTTCAGGCTGGCCTTGAACTCATTATTTAGCTTAGGCTGGCCTTCAACTGGCAGCGACCTCCTATCACAGTTCCCAAGTGCTAGGATTTTTATAGGCTTGTGCCCCCATACCAGGCATTCTTTATGCATGTTTCTCAACCCAGCCATTCTACTTCGAAGAATTTATCCTAAGTATGTAATTATAGAAACAAAAATTTACCCAAAGAGATGTCACCAAATGGCTATTTATAAAGGAAAAGCATGAAAATCTCAATTTCAACAGAAACTTAAATTATATTAAAAACAGTAAATTAAAGGGCCGGTGAGATAGCTAGTGGACTAAGCACCTGCTCAGGCAAGCACAGGGACCAGGGCTTGATTCCTGGCATAACACACTATGCCAGCCCCCACCCCTGGGCATGCTTAGCCAGTCACGGAGACTGGGCATGGTGGTGCATGCCTATAATCCCAGCACTGGGGAGGCTAAAAAAATGGAAGAATCACTATGGGTTTGTATTGAGACCCTATACCAAACACATTAAAAAAAAAAAAAAAAAAATACATTAAAAAAAAAAAAAAAAAAAGAAAGAAAGAAAAAAAAACAACAGTAAATTAGGCCAGGTGTGGTGGCACAGAGAAGGGTAAAAGGAAGATCACAAGTTTGAGGCCAGCTTGGTCACCTTGGCCAGACATGTCTCAAAAATTTTAATTAAATGGCTGAGGATGTAGCTTGGCACTCCCTAAATTCAACCATTACTACCAAAGTAAAAACAAGGGCTGGTGAGATGGCTCAGTGGTCTAGGGCACCTACTTGGAACAAGCTTGGCCAAGCACAGGGACCGCGGTTCAATCCCCCAGCACCACATGCCCAGCCAGCCCTGCCCCCTGGTGGGCTGAGCTGGCCACACACACACACACATAAATAAATAAATAAAATTTTTTTAAAAATCAAAGTAAAAACAAAACAAAAAGATTTTTATTTCCATTCAAGTATCAGAACTCTCTAAGGCCATTAAAAACATTGCATAATAAAAACTTTACAATAACTAAAATTATGTTCACAAAAACAAAGATTATAAAAATCATAGGTTCCATAAGATGTCTGCCTAGAAAAAAGATAAAATATAGAACAGAATGAAATCAAACCAGATGCAACGGCATGCATGTGCCTATAGTCCCAGCTATTTGGAAGACTAAAGCAGGCTCTCTTGTGCGCAGGAGTTCAAGGTCAGTCTAGGCAACACAATGAGATTTCACCTCAAAATTCAGAAAGAAAAAGCAATGGCTACCTATGGCTAATATTCTTCAGCGCTAGGACCTGAACTCCAGGCCTTGTGAGCACCAGGCAAGTGCTGCTACTAATAAGCAACACTCCTGTTCCTTTTTCTTTCGAGACAGGGTCTTGCTAAGTTACCCAGGCTATCACTGAAGTTGTGATCCTCCTCCCACCTTAGCCAATGGATTACGGGCATGCACCCCCTCACCCAGCTTCCTTTCTCTTTAAAAAAAAAAAACCATTTGAAAATTATCAGAACAAATAACTAAGGAAAAAGCATAAAGGAATTTCATAAACTTTACACAATGTTATTTCATTAACCCCCTTTGAGAAATGATTTTACTGTCTAGATCCAAACTGCATGAATATAAATAAATTGCTGGAGAAGCTGGGCATGGCGGCACACACCTGTAATCTCAGCACTTGGGAAGCTGAGGCAGGAGAATCGCCATGAGTTCATGGTCAGTCTGAACTACATAGCAAGACCCTGTCTTAAAAAAACATAAACAAGCAAAAAAAAAAAAAAAAAAATTACTGGAGAAATCAATTTTAGTCCCTATAATTGAGTGCTTTGATTGAAAAGTTTAATTAAAGGTAAGCCACACTTGTAATCTCAGCAGTCTAGATGGCTTGGGCATGAGAACCTCAAAATGGAGATTAGCCTGGGTAGTTCAGCAATTTAATAAGACTTGTCTAAAAGTAAAAAAATTCAAGCACTAAGGATATAGCTTAGTACACACCCCTAAATTCAATCCCCATTGCTGGAAGAAAAAAAAAAAAAAAAAAAATGAGAGGCCAGCAATCTATTAAAACAATAACTGTCCAGGGCTTGGGAGGCTGAAAACAGGAGGACTGAGTCTGATCTGTGTAGTGAGACCCTGGTGACCCTGTACTAAATACATTAAAAAAAAAAAATGTCTTATTGGGCTATGCCTATAGGTGCACACCTATAATCCCAGCACTCAGAAGGCTGAGGCAGGAGAATCACCATGAGTTTGACACCAGCCTGGGCTACATAGTGAGTTCAAAAACAGCCTGAACTACATAGCAGGACCCCGTCTCAAAAAAAAAGCCTGAACTCTCACACATCCTAAGTGTCATTTATTATTAGTAACTCACACTAAAACATAATATTGGAATTTGGCTAAATCATTAAAATATTTACTTCAGTAAACAAATAATATAAACTAAAATATATACCCTCAATGAGCTACCTATATAAGAATGTTTATTTTAAAGCATGCAGCTTTTGAAAAGTAGCCTCTGAAAATAATACTGCCTCATATAAAATACAAAATATATAGTTCTTTTAAAACATTGCCTAAGGGGGCTGGGGAGGTGGCTCAGTGGAATAAGCACTTCCCTGGCAAGTGCAAGGGCCTGAGTTCAATCCCCGGTTCCACCAAAAAAAAAAAAAACAGATTATTTGGGGCTTGAGAGATGGCTCAGTGGTCTAAAGCACCTACTTAGAGCAAGTTTGGCAAAGCACAGGGACCGCGGTTCGATCCCCCAGCACCACATGCCAGCCAGCCCCGCCCCCCGGTGGGCTGGGCTGAGCTGGCCACACACAAAAATAAATAAATAAATAAATTTAAAACATTGCCTAAGGGAAGGAGGGGTGGAGGAAGGGGAAGAGAAAGAGAGAGCGAGAGAGAGGGAGAGAGAGCGAGAGCGAGCGAAAGCGAGCGAGAGCGAGCGAGAGCGAGCGAGAGCGAGCGAGAGCGAGAACAAGAGCGTGCGAGAATCACACAATTAGAACATAACACCTGCCCACTCACCGGTGGCAAGGACGCTGGGGACGTCTGGTAAATCTGCACTGGGGGTCCAGAGGTTGGAGGGTGAGGGAAATGGGCCGGCATATGGCACTGTTGCAGCTGTGGGGGTGCAATGTAAGGATTAGCCCTGCTGCTGACAGGGGTATGGCGATACGGATTATATCCTTGTTGGAGGGTTCCTTGGGGTGGGCTCCCAAAATTTGAAGGAGGGAGACCACTTGGCTGAGAAGGCAGATAAGGATTTATTCCCATCTGTGAAGAAGGTGGAGCACCACACTGAGCCTTTGAAACAGATGGTGGAAATGCAGTCAATCCATCTTGGGATTCAGTTGTAAAAGGGAGAGTAGTCGGTGGCTTGGAGAAAGCTGATTGTCCGACAGATGTTACTATAGTTGTTAAGGGTGACTGTCCAATATTTCCAAAAGGATCACTACTGCTTGATACCTGAGAGAAGTAACTAAATGTCTGTGGGGTGGACGTGTGAACATTAGTCTGACCAAGGAAGCTGTCCTCCTCACCAACATCTGTGGAATCCTCTGAAACAGAACAAGACAGCAAATGGTTTAAAGGGTGCATTATCATTCCATAAGATTCTGTAACGAAGAGCTGTTAATTATACTTGATTTATTACTCTTAACATAATTCTGCAAGAAAAAAAACAACAAAAATGTCAGATGCAGTGACATATGCCTATAATCTCAACTCTTCAGAGGCTGAAGAAGGAAGACCACCATGAGTTCAAGGCTAGTCTGGGCTACCTTGTGAGTTTAAGGACAACCCAAACTACATAGCTCAGCCTGCCTCAAAATACTAAAAAACAGGGCTGGCCAGATAGCTCAGCAGATTAAAGTGCCTGCTTAGGCAGACACAGGGGTTGGAGGTTCGGTTCGATCCCCAGCCTGTCCCTGGTCCAACTGCCAGCCCCACCCTCTGTGGCATATGAGACAGTGATTGAGACTGAGCAAGGTAGCATGGCCTGTAATCCCAGCACTTGGGAGGCTGAAAATAGGAGAATCACTAGGAGTTCAATCTGCATAGTGAGACCCTGCACTAAATACAAAAAAAAAAAAAAAAAAAAAAACTAAACTAAAAAACAAATGACAACAATAACAAAACTTTTTTTCCTTTACAAACTTTTCCTTTAAAGTGAAAAACTAGAGAACATGAATTTTAAAATCTAGCCTCTCATGGTAGTACAAAGTTATAATTCCAGCCACTCAAGAAACTACAGTAGAAGGATCAGAAATCCAAGGTCAGGTAGCTGAGTATGATGGCTCACACCTGTAATCCCAGCACTTGGGAGGATGAGGCAGTTGGATCATTACAAGTTTGAGGCCAGCCGGACTACAGAGTGAGCTTCAGGCCAGCTTGAACTACACAGCAAGACCCAGTTTCAAAAAACAAAACAACATAATACAAGGCCAGGGTACACAACTAAGCTAAACAATGTCACAAAAGGAAAAGAAAAAGGAGGCTGAGGAGATAGCTCTGTGGTACAGTGCTTGCCTAGAATAGATGTGGCCTTGAGTGTAGTACCAGTACCAAAAATACATACATAATAAAAATTACATCACTCATAATCCCACCTCCCAGAGATTATCACTGCTAACATTGTTTACACTTTGTTACAGCACTCTTTATACTTCTTAAACAAATGTAGTTACCATTTATTTTGCTAATATTTAAGTATACAGGAGCTTTTAAGAACAGAGACATAATCTATACCTACTATTTTACTTATTAATTTGAATCTTTTCTCTCCCTTGGTAAGATATAATTCACACTCTGCCTCATTACCCAAATGCATGTATTTTTATTTCAACAGTCACAAGAAGCTAAAGATAGTCTATTGCCAAGAAGGGGTGTGTCAGAGCTCTTACTTTTAAGGCAACTATACAAACAGGCCTGTGGCATTTGTATTTCCCAGGTAAAGTGGGTCAACCATTAATGACCATCCTTAAAACCATGCAGTGTCACAACCAATAATTATAGTCATTACACAATATTAAATAAGTAAAAAAAAAAAAAAAAGTTCTCATTTCTCTTTGCCCATGTTAAGCTTCACTATGGGTAATATCAACTGAATTTCACTGCTGCTCTGCTACCAAGTTATAAAATGAAAGCATTTCTCTCTATATGACCTCAAAGGTTCACCCACTCGTCCTTACTACATATTAAATAAGCTTTTCAGGTGCAGCTTTCATCTTCCTCCTCCCAATCTTCCCTTTTCCTACTCATTCCCTTTTATCTTCTGCTCCTGGAGGTTATGAGTCCATTACAGATGTGGACCCAGTACCAACACAGAGGCAGACTATGACCCCTGCCCTACAGACGTACCACAGTGCCAGCTTCTCACTTCTGCTGATGGAGCCCACTGGGTTCACAGAGATTCTTCCTTGACCTTCTAGAGTAATCCCACTATAATTCACACCCCAGTTTGGGCTACAGTTCAAGATGGCTCAGTGGTCTAAAGCACCTACTTAAAACAAGTTTAGCTAAAGCACTGGGACCGCGGTTCAATCCCCCAGCACCACATGCCAGCCAGCCCCGCCCCCTGGTGGGCTGAGCTGGCCACACACACACATAAATAAATAAATTAAAAAAAAAAACTTACGATAAATGAAATAAAATAAATTGTGCCACTATAAACATGGATATATATGTGTCCGTGTACTATGCTTTTAACTCCTTTGGGGAAGATATCTAGGAGGGGAA